AAGTTCCTTCGCAAAACGGACAAACATAGACAAACTCCCTCGCGGCCACGTGGCCGTCTTTGACACGAAACCGGTTCCCGCACGCATGGCGGTGATCTATTTGGCCTGTGCGCACACTGCTGGTCACAGACGTCTCACAAAAAGGACATGCATATTGGAACCTTTCCATGGGCTTCTCACCTTTCACGTTGCTCACGCAGTCCTTGCAGATACGTCGGTCGGCGTTGCGCGCCTTCCACGCGGCTACCTCGAACGCACTTTCCGGCTTGGCCGTACCGCATCTGTAGCACCGCTTCTGTGCTTCGCGCGTCCGGCGCACGCGGTAGAAAGTGCATTGGGGGCGCGCGTACATTGTTGCAAAGGCGTCTTCGTGCTTCCATGCCTTGCAAACTTTGCATTACCAGGGCGTGTTGTTGGCAGCGTGGTTACGTACGCATTCTCTGCAGACCCGTGCGTCCGCGTCCCGTTTCCATTGCCCGGCGCTGTACCCGCTTTTGGGTTTGCTTTCCTGGCACTCGCTGCACACTTCCTCCTCGCGGTACCGCGCGCGCAACGCTGCCCAGTCGATGCTCCCTCCGCGCCCGGCCTGCAACAGCAAAGCTCTCCCCACGCTGCGTCCTTTCTGGTAGGGCGCAGCTTCGAAGGGTCTGTATATGTGTAACCCATGTCTATCTTTCACTCGCGTCACAGCGATGTATGCGGTCAGGGGGTCTCCGCCTTCCGCGATCTGCATGTCCGTGATTACTCCCTCTGCATAAGTTTGGCCTTGCGCCGCGTGCGCCGTCGTGGCAAACCCGGGGGCCAAAGGAAATTGCCGTCGCACCACCCGCAGCAAGGGGCGCTTTCTGCCCTTATCCAGATGCCACGCTTGCCGTTGAAGCGTCACCGGAAAGACGTTGTCCGTGGCCAGCCCCTGCACTCGCCACTCTGACTTGGTCTGGAACCGGACAAAGATACAAGATGGGAGCTGGTTCCAAATATGCGTCGTGCCCGCTGCTGCCGTGCCTGCTGCTCCTTGCCAGCTCCATCCAACAACTTTGCCGGGACATCCCTTATGCCTTTGTTGTTGTAAAAGTGCTTTGTGTTGTTGTAAAAGTGCCCCAACATGGGGCCTTTTCTATCCCACCCGCCCACCTGTCCAGCTCGACTTTGGCGGTTGCCAAGGATTTTGCTGGTTGGTTGTTGTGGGTGAGATTCCATGTTAAATTGGAAGTTTCCAAGGGAAGAAGTTTCAGCCTAAGACCATCAAGTTTGATGGGGCTGATGGTTGTAGAAACCAGGAGTTGCAGATGCTAGCCTGAGGACCTCTGTCAAGTTGCTTGCAAGGAAGTTGTTGCTGGCAAATCAGACCCAACCCATCCCACCCAGCCAACTCCAACTTGGAGTTGGAAAACTTTCTGGTTGGTGGCAATCATCCATGTGTATCTTGGAAGTTTCCAGGGAGGAGGTTTCAGACGCCCATGCAGCCCACCCCAATTGGAGTGTGATGGTTGATGTTGGTGGTTGGTTGTAGGCGCGTTTCTGCATAAAGGTCCTAGGGAAGAATTTTCAGAGAGCAGAAAATATCCCACCCCCCAATTTTCAAATTGGAATGAGAAACGTTTCTAAGCCATGCACACAGAGAATTGAGGCCTTGCAAGAAGACAGGTACATCAAAGCGGTGCCTGCAACAAGTGGAAGCACCCCCACCACCACCTCTCATAGGAAGTTTCATTCTACATAGCAATCTCGCCACTAGTGCCACACTGCAACGCATTTGGCTTGGCAAGACAAGAGGGGGGGCAGGGCGAGCGTATAATTGAGAACAATGAGATTGGGTGGTTACTTGATGGCGCACTGATGCGCTTGATTGCTCACTGTGCTGGGCGCTACGAGTGGCTGTGGCAGTGCAGTGTTTGTTTGGTGTTTTAGCATGGGAGGGCACTGTGTGGGCCGCCCACTTCTCTTTCCCGCTGCTTTCCAGAAGTGGTTTCAGAAGTGAATTTAGGCAGGCAGGCAAGCAGGAAAAACAAGACTTTCAAGGTTTCGTCATGTGCAAAGTCTTGAAGTCTTCTCGCAGCATCCATGTCAGTGCGCAAGCATGCGAGATTTAAAGGCCCAGCTGGCAATTTTCCTCTTGGGTTGGCCAAGGACGGGGCCATGATGCAAGAAATGCGGGCCCCAAATCGGTGTTCATCTGGGCCTTTATTTAAGGGCCCAGATGAACACTGGTTTGGGGCACGCATTTCTTGCATCATGGCCCCGTCCTTGGCCAACCCAAGAGGAAAATTGCCAGGCCCAGCAAGATTCAGAAGCATCCTTATCCCTCCAAAAGTCTGCTGCAGCAGCCATCATGGCAAAGCGTGGGCAGAAAGCGCCAAAACGAGGCCCTTTGAGGAGTGCACGAAGCCGGGTGAAGATCAAGTGCGGGCTCCACAAATGCAAGACAGGGACAGATGCCAAGAACAAGCCCTACGAGCTTCCAGTGGCAAATGTGAACGTCGACCTGTGCCGAACCCTACGTTCACACACAAAAGTGGTGAAGTTTTGCTGCAAAGCTCACATGGTCCAGTGCACTGCACCAGAGCCACCTGTAAAACGAGGAGGGCGGGAGCCCCTTACCACACCACAGCTCCACAGTTTGTTCTCCACCCTGGTTGAAGTCTGCCACACTCCATGGGCAGGTGCCCTGATGGTGCTACAACTCTGCTTAGGCGAGCGTGCTGACGCTGCCAGGCAGTCGTCTACATGTTGGTTTCTAAACATGGCACCAGGCTTATCAGATATGCCTACGTGCAACATCCCCCGAGTGAACTTGAAGACCACTGAGCGCTCAATACCTCTTGATCGCTCCTTTGCAAACCTCCTATGGACCTGGATGACACGTGAGCCTTTGGCGGATCAAGGATACCAATGGCCGTTTCCACAACGGCGTCGAAGGAATCCCCCACGCTCAAGCTGTTGTCTACAACGATGATGCCACCCTTCGAAGGAATGGTGACACCATCCAAGGCTGCCTCCAAGATTCTTCTGTAGCCGGAAGCACCAATTTGCTCAAATTTCCTTGCCCCTTGCACCAGCCCCTCAGCAGTTGTTGAGCTTGGGAGAGCATCTGGCTGAATGTCTTCAACCACCAACATATTGGCAGCTGCTACTTGGTCTGCTGGCTCCGTTCGTTGGTTGCGAACCAGGGCTGCATTCTTGAAAGCCCACTCTTTCTCCTTGAGCCCCAGGGATGTCACGATTCTTCCGTGGTAAACAAGTGGTCTGGAATCTCTCTGGTCAAGACGGGAAGCATATGGAAGGATCATCGTCTTGTCCACATTCAAGCTAGCGCTGCTGAGATTCTTCAAGCACATGTGTTCAGCAAGGAACAACTGGCCACGGTGGTATGTGAATTGGGGCAAAATGCAAACATCCAGTTGTCGAACGCCGGCATCCTGATTCAGCACAATGCCCATGAGTTTGGACTGAGCTTGCTGACGATCATTGTTGACACGGCAAATCGCTGACCAGTTGAGGATTGAAACCACCACCTGGGCCACGCCCACACAAAAGGGAATACAAACACGATAAAAGTGTGAGCTTACAGATCCAATGCGCCAAAACCAAAAGCATTTGCATCAAAAAACCTTCAACCAATGAGGCTGAGCCAGGTAACCATGGAATCCTGCTGCAAACCAAATGTTTTGCAGAACTGGTTCACATAGCCATTGTAATCTTGGAGCAAGGAATGCAAAGCATTGCCACAGAGCACTTTGACATTGGAAGCAAGAAGCTTCTTTGCAGCAATCACAGACGCATCGAAGGCATTCTTGCGGTGTGTAAGCTCTGCGTGGTACTGAGCACTGCTGTGGCTCTCCATCTTGCCCCGGAAGACCTTCAAGCACCGGAGGTCATAGTCAATCCTTTTCTTCAAGAGGTCAAAGGCGTCAGTCTCCAAGTCGTTCATGTGCAGCGCAGGTGCCCCATCTCCAATAGGTCGGTTGGTTGCGTGTGCATCCATCCTACAGTCTTGAAACATCAGTGGAACCACATGTAGAGTGGTTTATTGGAACCTTATTGTGGCTTTTGGAACAATAAACTACAAACATATCCACGTTGTGCTTTGAGAACTCAGGCCCCAACGCTGCTCGCAGCTGAGCAAAATCACGAGGGCCACATTTAGGGTCCCTGTTGTTGAGCGCGCACTGGATCTCAAGCACCAAGCTGCAATCACCATGCACCCAAGGCTCAAGCCACTGTGAGCGCAAGGCCTCCTGATCGAACGGAACCTCACTTTGAGCAGTCAAGCCAATGTTCAATCACTTTGAGCAGTCAAGCCAATGTTCAACACGAAGGCTGCCTCCTCCGACTTGTCTTCCAATTCAGCCTTGGTCAGCTTGCGCCTGGCTTTCTCATGCTCTCCCTCGTACACAGTAGTGACATGCCGGAGCAAGAGGAGCGTCGATTCCTCGGACATCTTGCCCCATTTGGCCCAACTACCACCAAGGTTGTGGTTTCGATGCACAAAGTTTGGGAGAATCTTGCGGGAACCAAGGGCATCGTCACTGAACACCGACCTGTCCCAGCCCATTTTCTGCACATGTGTTTCAATCACTTCCAACGCCTTGGGAGGCATTGCCTCGAGCAAGTTTCTGACAGCAATGGCTTTCTGGCCAACCAATTGCCTCTGCTTTGGCGTGCCCACGTTGAATTTTTTTCACGATACTCTGCAAGTCAATTGACAAACCTTGGTCCCGCAATTGCTTCACACTCTGCACCCATGTCAGGATGCTGGGTGGGCGGCAAAGGGCTCCACGGTTCGATGCGCGGAAATTGTAGAGCAGCTCATCATGCTTGGACTGGTGCTCCAACATGACAACATGGATGGATTTGATGGAGTTGGCCAGCACTGGGTGGGCCTGAAATGGTTTTTTTCCCCATGGCGAACCGAGGCTCAGAGACATCACAACAAAACATACACCTCAACAACAGAGGAGTAAGGATGGCAATATTCATTTTGGCAAGGCCCCTGTTTAACCCAAAAGGAAAATTGCCAACTGACCAACAACATCCAACTTTCTACCCAGGCCTCAACAACATCCAACTTGTTGTCGTGGCATAGACTCAGGATCCCCATCAAAGTGTGCACACGAGTTCGGCCTTTGCTGAAACCCACACAGAAAGGAAGAAGCTCCCCTGCTCATGGAGGCCGCACAGGATGACCACCAACATGCGAAAAAATGTCTGCGCACTGCATGCCCTTGATGGGGTCTGTCACCGAAATGAACCCCTCTGTCAGGATGTGCTCCGCCATGTCGAGCACTTGGCAATGATCCGGATCGGCCCTCACACTTGCATGCTTCCCAAAATGGAAGGCAGCCACAGGCAGTTGGATGGTAGGTGTATCCTTGGCATTGCCAGAAACCTGTGTAGCGGGCAGTGTAGAAAGCCGCCCCACACCAAGGTCGTGGAAAGCCTCATTGCTACGGCACAGGTAGTGCAGGTAGCTTGCAAAGTCTTGTAGTTCCTTTTGGTCAGCATACCTTTGCGTCAAATATGCGCTGAGTGACCCAAATCGCTCCAAGATCCCTGGCAAAAGACCCAGAACCTTGTCATTGAAATCAGTTGTTCCAGTGTCAGAATCTTCTGGCAAAACGGCAGCTTCAAAAGCCGCCAGGCAGACACTTTCAGAGTGATGACTCTGACTCTGACCGTCATCAAAGTGAGTTGGTTTCTCTTCTTCTTTCACAGGCGACATTGTCATGCTCGTGACTCTTGGTGAGACGATGAGCGATGGTCGCAAGAAAAGTTAACTCCACTAGCAGGTTTGAGACTGGAGGAGCAAAAAAAAGACACCAAGGATAGTGAGCATGACCAGATAACAACGCATATCCATATGATGCAAACTCGCTGAATCTAATCTCAATGTTGAATCCTGTCACCAGCTAAAGCTGCAAATTGAAAGCCCATTGAGCCACGCCTTCAGCAAGGGCATCAATGCCCACAACCTGAATACCAAAACTCACAGGGGGAGGGATCTCACAAAATGGCATGAGACACCATCAACAGTGATCTTTTACATTGGGTAAAGTTACATGTGAGTGACCCGGCGCAGTCTTTCAAATGAATCTCAGCCCTGAACTGAACCAGTTGTCAGCCACTCCAGGTCGAAAGGTCAAGCCTGAGCAAAACATAATTGATTTCTTCATGAGCGCTATGATTTCAATGACAAGGATTGCTACACACCAAACATTCCTTGGGGATTCTAAAGCCAAACGCAAAATCGCTAGATCTTTCCCATCCACAGGACCACCAAAATCGCTAGATCTTTGCAAGTCGCTGGATTAACAAAAACCGCTAGATATTCCAAAACCGTTGGATCATACAAAATCGCTAGATCTTTCCATTAAAACTAACTGATGGAATAGGCCCCACACTTCCAAGGTCAGATCTGCCAAACCTGAAAATCAACAGAACACACCCCTCGACATTGCCAAACTGGACATCTAGTGGATAAAATTTTATCCGCTACATATATATGGCCATAGCCCAAAAGACACCTGTACAGCCTTGAAGGATTCAGGGGAGGTAGGATCCTATGGGATTGGCTAGGGGGCCAGATCTATCTAGCGGATAAATTTTATCACCTAGATGTCTGAGTGCACCATGGCAGCATTGCAAATCCATTGCTTTTGCAATCCATATGCCATCTCTCCCTCTAGACCTTCCTGCCTAAATGGGTTTATATCTTTCGGTTTTTTTGGATCCAGCGAAATTTGGATCCGTCGGTTTTTGAACATCCAACGATCTCCCGACATCCGGCGATTTTGGTTCACATCGTCAACTGATAGCAGCAGCAAAAAAGAAAAACTTTTTTGACACAGCCCCAAGCAAAGGGTTTAACCCAATCACAAATCACAGACACTGAAGCCTCCGGTCTGATGCGGAACCTTCTAAATTAGATTTCTGGTTTCTCTCTCTGTGCAGCTGACCATGGCAGAGACTAATGGGGCAGGATAGACTTGAGCCCACTTGCTCAATTTCTTGCGCTGGCAAGAACCCTCAATCTTGCAGTGAATCAATCCTTTCTCATGGCAGCGGCATCCTTTCTGGTTGAACTCTGCCACAACAGCGTCGCTGTTTGTCAGGAATTTTGTGAGTTTCCTCATGGGACGCCCATCTGGGCTTTTAAGCCCATACCGACATTGCGCAAAAGAGACAACCTGACAGTTCGGTACTGTTGCGCAAACATCTTCCACTGAAGGAAGACGCCATGAGGAGGCTGTCGATGGGTGTTCTAGCAGGAACAGTCTGTTCCTCTGGCTACGATGCCTGCAAAGCATCATGCAGAAGTTCATGTGGTCAATCGCAATCTCCATACGCTGAGCGAATGTGATAGGACACATCCTTGATTCATTGCACCTCATCAATGCACTGAACATTGTACATTCTGGGCTCATGGTGCACATCAAAGGATCCAAAGATTCCACAAAACCCATAGCCTCTGCACGATGCTGTGGTTTGTTGCAATCCCAGCCGCAAGTCAAGTCCCAGCTCTTTGAAGCTTGGAGCCCTCGCGCACGAGCCACTGGGGCGAGTCTTGGTGGCGAGAAGAACTCCATCAAAGCTTCTCCAAACCACCCATGAGATGAAGGCCCTGGAGACACCAAAAGTGGAGTTGGTCTGTGGGGATTTGGACCACACAAATCTCTGAACTCAAGCCCCAAATCAGGCTCAGGAAGAAATGTGCCCTTGCAAGCCACCTTGCATCCAAATTCAATACCTTCATCAGGAGCAGGAAGAGTCACACCACAGCCACTGCCACCTGTGGCCTTCGCGGTGTGCGGTTTCTTGCCCTGTTTGTCTTTCTTGACTTTCGCTTTGTTCAGACCTTTGCTTTTTGCCCCACCATGAGCAGATGGTAGCCAACCACCATCATCAGGAGGCAACTGGAAACTCATGCTTCGTGTCAGCACTACAAAAGGTCTTCAGCCAAAGACTCTACAGGTCAGCATAGCTTAGACATAGCTTGGAAGAAAGCAACAGGAATGCGCTTGTCTTCCAGTTTTGAGATGCGCACTGACAAAGGGCAGCCCACCAGCGTGTGTCCAAAGACCTGGAAAGCCTGGCGAGCTGATCTTAAATTGCTTGCACTCTTATAGTTCCTATATGCTTAAAAAATATGCTTGCAAGAAGAATGGTGCGAGAAGAGTAAGACTAAAAGGCTCTTATACTTATTTGGCTCACGCGACACAGGAAATATGTATAGGCAGTCTCAGGCAACCACCCAATTCAGTGGCCACTATTCAGGTTGGGTCACTCAATGCATCCTTGATTCTTTAAACAGCTTTCTAACACAAACGCGCGTAATCAGTTTAGGTAGATAGAGAAACAACATGAGAGCAATGATGGTGGCCCTTGGATTCCATAAGCTTGTATGTGAGCTTGTCCTATATCCTACTTTACTCTGGTCTTCTTCGAAGACTTTGGCTTTGGCACCGAAGTTCTCGCCCTCTTGCGAGATGATGAAAATGAAGATGCTGCTGCTTTAATTTTTATTGGCTTGAATTTGGGTTTCACCCGTGTGTCTCTCTGAACTTTTTCATGAGACACCATAGAGCGTTTGCGTCTCCGCGTGGCCCTGGGGCTGCTAGATGTTGATGTGGAGGGAGACGATGTGGAGGAAGAGGATGATGATGATGGGGAAACGTTTGGAGCAGGCTTCCAACGTATCTGAGGAACAGGAGGATGACTAGCACACTCATGCGACATTCCTGGCTCCATAACTTGGCCACATCGACTGCAAATAGAATAGCGCCGGGCAACCTGCACAAGTGAAACCAGTCTGACAGTACACATTGAGTTCCGTTGCCCTCCCACAGGTGGTCTAAAGTGAACAAAGGAATAAAGAAACACAAACAAGAAGAACAGTCCGTCATGGCAGTCAGTCAGTCAGTCAGTCTCTGT